AAAAAAAAAAAAAAAAAAAAAAAAGAATACATACAAATGCCTAACATGTATACTGGTTCAATCCCCAGTACCATAAAATAAATAAGTAGCTATAAAAATGTGTTTAAATTAAAAATAGAATTACCATGTGATCCAGCAATCCCACCTCTGGGTTTATATCCAAAAGAATTGAAAACAGAATATCAAAAAGACAGTTGCACACCCATGTTTATTGGGTGAGTGGGAAACAGCCTACATGTCCCTTGAAGGATTAATGGATATAGAAAATGAGCTATAGTCATAAAATAGAATAGAGTTCAGTCTTTAAAAGGAAGGAAATATTGAACGTGGATGAACCTTAAGGATATTCTGCTAAGTGAAATAAGCCAGTTGCAGTGGGACAAATACTGCATTTTCTACTTACATGAGCTATTTGAATAATCAAAGTCATAGAAGCAGAAAAACAATGATGGTAGCCAGGGGCTGGACAGGAGGAGGAGTCGGAGAGTTGCTGTTCAATATGTGTAGTTTCAGTCAGGCGAGGTGAGGACGTTCTAGAGATCTGCTGTATGACAATGTACATCTAACTAACAACACTGTACTTACACACTTACACACGTGTCGAGAGGGTAGATCTCACATTGTGTTTTTAACACACACACACACACACACACATACACACACTAGCCCTGTTACAGAAAGATATACCACTCACTGAGCTTCACGGAAAATCAAACCCACTGCTCATGATGAAGATCAGGCCCTTGGGTTCAATCTTACACCGTCATTAGAAGCCAAAGAGTACATTTTTTTCAATTCCATCTATTCCCATTATCTTGGGATGTACTTATGTAAAAATCATATTTTTGTAAAAGGAGAAAAATATTATTCTCTGCTCTTAAGACAAAGTCGATTAAATGACTCAAAAAAAAAAAAAAAACAGCTCCCTGAGTAACCCTGCTGATCACCAGCTGTGAGAGCCACAATCAATGAAAGCAGAGAAAGTGCAAGAAGCAGGAAGGCCCAGGTTATGTGTGGAGAGGGAAAAAAGCATCCCCAGACAAACCCTTACCATTCCCCAGCCAAGGACTGCCTTGCCCTGGCGCCGGGAGTCTGGGCACAGAATGTGGAACTTGGAATTCACCCTGGAACTTGGCATTGTCACTTCCTTCGTGGTACAGACGACCCTCACAATCTGACCGGCAGTCTGAATCCACAGAGCCAGGCAGTCACTGGGGACTGATGGCCAAATCTGCCAAGAGGAGGCCAGGAGGGATTTCCTTGGCAACCAGGCCGTGACCGGGGCTTTTTCTCGCACACTCCGAATCTCAATTAAGTTGGCCCACAGTGGGCTCCGCTCGGGGGTAGGCTCACCTTAACAGATGTGTGTGTGGACCCAGGCAGCCAGTTTATTAATTTACGAATGAAAAATACAGCTGTCAGGCTGGCAGTGCTGTGGCCTCCTTTCTCAGAATGCGCGTCGCCTGGGAAGCTGAGTCTGAGGGTTGTTTAATGAGAAAACAGCACAAGCAAAATTCACCAGATGGTCTTTAAGAGATTCACACCCACCACTGGGGTGCCATGCTTCAGTCCACGAGAGAGGCACCTCTTCGTGCCCAGACAGGGCTTAAATGGGCATGGCCCACATCCGTGGTGAGGGCCCTGGGGTTGGATTGAAGAACGTCAAGTTCTGCACTGACCGTTTGTAAAACTTTGGCAAAGTAGCCCTGCCCTCAAAGATTCTGTTTCCTCATGTACGATGAGAATAATTGTAGCAGCTACATTGTTGGGTTATTGTGAGGATTAAATGAAAGAAGTGAATGTTTATCAAAATACTAGGCATATAGTTAATCTACATGCTTGGTAGTTATCAACATCACTACTGTCAACGTTACTCTGCTCTGTGTGTAACCAAAAACCGAGAACTTTCCACTTGCTAAGTGGAAACATATCCTAGTCTTGCCTCTGAATCTTAGTAGCCCTGCCTGGATTTTAGGGATGCCCCAATTCTTCATGGCACCTTCACCCCCAGTCTCAGACACCAGCAGCACCCATGATGATGGTGGTTGAATTTCTCCAATTTCCAGGATTTTTGACTAGGGACAAGGTAGAGTCATCTCGTGGCCTGTCGTATATCCCTGTCCCTGATTCTGCAGTCCCCAGTTCTTTTGCCCTCCCTGCACCTCCCCTCTTCTAAACAGCTTTTTAGTGCCAGGACTTGAAGGCAGCCACAGGGAGGGGCAGGGTTAAAAGTCAGGCTTGAGCAAATGCCTGCAGGAATGCAGGTGCCCGTGTAATGTGTCTGGCAGATGTAACTTCCAGGCAGTCTGGGATGGGGATTATGAGGCCACATGGGCCTGTGACTTGAGCAAAACAACAAATGAAACCAAGAAACACATGTCTGCTCTTCCATGTGGACTCAGACCGCTCTACTCCAGTGAGGCAGGTTCCCTGGAAGTGGCATCCCCACTGACCACTTCTGGGGCTGAGAGCAGCAGGTAGGTCCCTCCAAGCCAGATTTACCTCCCACTGTCTATTCAGAAACAGGATTTATTTATTTGACTATTTATATTTTCTTTCTTCTTTGCGTGTGTGTGACGCCCGCCAAGGATTTAACCCAGGGGTGCTTAACCACTGAGCCACATCCCCAGGCTTTTTTATATTTTATTTTGAGACAGAGTCTTGCTAAGTTACTCAGGGCCTCACCAACTTGCTGAGGCTGGCTTTGAACTTGTGGTTCTCCTGCTTCAGCCACCAGAGCTGCTAGGATTATAGGTGTGCGTCCCTGCTCTGCTTCCTTCCACTTGCTAAATCCTACCCTCACATTCAGGCCAGTTTAAGCCTCAACACTTCCTGGGCCTTTGAATACCTATTAAAATAATGACAGCATGGTCGGTTTTCAGAGCTGGATCCAGTGCCCTTTGTTGTTCCACTCTCCTTTGACTTCTTATTGTGAAATGTTCCAACTAATTTTGCTTCCTCCACAAAACACCTGGAAAACAGGATCTCCTTCTCCAGCAGGAGCTGGGGCACACAGATGCTCAGTAACCATGGTTGATTGGATTAAAAGTGTGGGGTTAAGGAGAGAAATCTTTCCCCCAACCCTCTCTCTCTCTGCCTTGTTTTGGGGGGAGGGGTTTGGTTCTGCTCAGATTGTTATAATTTTATGTGTCAGCTTTAAATAGCACTGTGTCCTCAGCCCATCATTTAGCTCTCTAGGGCCTCAACATCCTTCTTAAAATGGAAATGGAAAAATTTCAAGTTGGGAATAAAGTAAGAGAATGCTGATAGTATGTTGGGCATGTTGTTATTGGTAAATAAGTTGTATTGATTCATTTTTAGATAGCTGTTCTCAACTGGGGGACATTTGGCAGATATCTGGGAATATTTTTGGTTTGCACAACTGGGGTTCCAGGGTGGGTCTGTGCTACTGGTGTCCACTGGGTATGAGCCAGGAATGCCACCCAACATTATGCAATGCACAGGACAGATCCTCAGAACTATGGCTAAAAATTATTTGGTCAAAAATTTCAATTGTGCTGAGATTGAGAAATAGTGATTTACAAACAGAACACAACCACCAGTGAGTCACCGCAGTTCCCATTTTACAGATGAATCAGAAGGCAAGCCAGAGTTAGCAACGGTGCCAAGCCCATCTGGGGCTTTCACAAGATCTTGGAGCTAAATGAGTGGTGAATATAAAATCCAGCTGGGTTTGGAGCTAATGAGTGGTGAATATAAAACCTGATCTTTCGGAAGCCAACCACCATCCACCCACTTCCTAAACATCACAGGCATTGCTGGGGACCACCTTACCACCCTCCTCTTCTTGCCCTTGTATTTGGGACCCACTCTCCTTTGACTTCTTATTGTGAAATGTAGTGCACATTCAGAAAAGTTCACGGAATGTAAATGTATGACTTAATGAATTATTAAAAAGCAAATATCCCTGTATCCACCACCTAGGTCAAGGACGAGAATATTGCCAGCAATCCCTTCCTATAACCTTGGAGGAGGTGTTTCAAAACTGGAAACTTTTGTGGTTATAGAGGAACTGGGAACTTTGAAACCTCTTTTTTTGGAGGGTCCTAGCCTAAGTGAGGCTGTGTGCATCCTGGGGAGGTATGAGATCCCCAGCCCCACGGGAGGCAGCCAGAGGAAGGAGGAGTACTTGGTGGGCACAGGGTGTCTGCCAGCCCCAAACCCCTGCCCAGACCCTGAAGCAACTGTGCTTCATTCCAGCTGGGTTTGTAAGCAATTCTGAGGTCAGATTTGTCAGATGTGGGATCCCTCCCCCCCCCAACTTCAGACAAAAGGGAAGCAGAACCAAACTTGGGCCTCCAGACACTCAGAAACAGCATGAGGAAGGCAAGGGGCTTTCCAAAGATGGGAGCATGGGGCCGTTTGTAGGGCTCAGGAAGTGGGTGAAGAAATTTAGGAAATCCTTTTGGCAATTTCAAATATTAAATATGTGGGAGGGGAGTACTCCATTTTCTGTCTTTCAATAAATATTTGGTAAGTAGTGGGGTGGGTTCTGTGCAAGCACCAGAAATGGCAGAGAACAAAGCCCATGCCAGCCCTGCCTCCCAATCCCATGGTGTGAGGGGAGAGAGGAGTCCCTGAGCAGGTAATCCCACCTCAGGTGTGTGTTGGGAATCAGCAATTTCAGGAGAGCTAAGTGAATGAAAGGCTCTAACCCTGAAACCCCCCCTCCCAAGCTTATCATAGGCTCATTTGTAATATTTTATCCTTCAGACAGTTAAATCTTGCAGTGGATGGTTTGGGACATTCTGTTGGTGACAATAAGACTCCAATGGGGAAGCAAGGAGATGATGAAGAATAAAAGAGGATATACAGCAATTTAGGAAAGCTCAACAAGAAATGGAATTTCAGAGAGAACTCTTCCTCCTGCTCTCTAGGGAGAAAGCTGGGGAGAAAGCAAGAGTGAGAAAGTTCATTTGGTTGGGAAGCAAAAGGAGACACCTAGAGAGGAAATCACAAATGCCTGAGAAGCTTTCCCTCTGCTTTTGTACTGATATTAAGGGCTATGTGACAATGTAAGTCCAAGAACTCCACCCCAGAGGCAAAAGAGGCTTCGGTCCAGGCTGGAGGTTCAGGCAGTCAAAGACACATTTCTCCCCAAATAATTTACATTGACAATTTACAACTTCACTTCTCCAAAGACATCTGCAGCTTCAAAACCTTGGGGTTCTCCCTATGGGCAATTTGCTTCAAGTTTGCATAAAACTTTCCAGGGAAAGAAAAGCCCACTTCTATCTCTGTCTCAAGAGGCAAACACTACCCAGGCCCAGGCTTCTGCCACCCTAGAAATGTAGAGTTGGGATCCTAAGATCTGATATTTTAGAGAAGCTAGGAATCTCATTTTAAAAGTAAAACCCATCTATCCTATTTGTTTGTTTGATTGTGTTAAAATATACATATCATAGATTGTGCCATTTTAACCATATTCAAGTATACAGTTCTGTAGCCTCAAGTACATTTACATTTCTGTGCAATCACCCAGACCGTTCATCTCCAGAACTTTTTCATCTTTTCAAAGTGAAACCTTGTGCCTCTGACATTCATGTATTGAAACCTAACAATCTATGCAATTGTATTTAGAAGGGGTCTTCGGAAGGTGATCAGGTGATGAGAATGGAATCCTCGTGAGTGGGAGTAGCACCCTTAGAAAATAAGCCCCAGGGAGCCTGTTTACATTTTCTGTCAGGTGAGGATGCACAGATGGTGTCACCTATGAGGAATGGGTCCTCACTAGACATCGAATCTGCCAGCACCTTGATCATGAACTTCCCCACCTCCCAAACTGTGAGCAATAATTTTCTACTGTTTGTAAATTATCTAGTCTAGGCACAGAACCACCATATGACCCAGCTATGCCACTCCTCAGTATTTATCCTGAAGAATTAATGTCATCATACTACGATGTTTATATACATGTTTATAGCAGCACAATTCACAATAGCCAAACTACGGAACCAGCCTAGCGTCCATCAATAGACGAATGGATAAAGAAAATATGGCATATGTACACAATGGATTTTAT